GGGGCGGGGGAGGGGGAGGGGGAGGGGGGGATGGATCCGGAGCAGACGTTCCTGCGGGTGCACGCGCGCCTCTCCGGGATGCTGTCGCAGCTGCTCACCCCGCGGATCCGCCTCGCGCTCGAGTACCTCTACCTCGCCGGCGCCGTCGCGCTCTTCTGCCTGCTCGTCGTCATGCACACCAACTTCGTGCAGCAGGTGAGCCTTCTTCCCCCCGCCGCCCCGCCCCTCTATCTCGCCCAAGGAAGAAGAATTTAATTCGGTGCCCTAGCTAGCCTTCTCATCTTAAATTAGGACAGGGCTTCTGTTGAATTCCTGCTGCTCGCCACCGCGCTCGATTCAACCCGACAGTGCTGCTGTTGCGATGCCAATTCGATTGGTACAAAATTGGCCAATTCGGCATAGCATTCTGATGCTGCTGCGCTGACGATTTCGTGTCGAGGAACTTATGGACCATCTTCATTTCCTACGAGGGTCTATGGTCTTGGATAGTTGTTGCTACACTAGTCCAGTGTTGGTTGCTGATTAGGCCGCTTTTGTAACTCCAACTTCATCTCATGTCCTGTTTTTCATGTGTTTTGGTCAAGCGCTTTCCCCGAATAGTGAACACCATGCGTTCTGGCCTAGTGTAGCCCAGCAGAAAAGTCTCAGATGTACTATTGTTTTCGCCTTTCGTCAAATCGCTAGCGCGTCAATTCCATATCTATAATGTCCTTTGCTTTCGTTCCCTCTTTTGCATTCTTCATGGCGAATGTTTCTTCACAATTTTCTACCAACTGTTTAGGTTTTGGTACTATGATACAGTCTGCACCTAAACAAAGAAAGTTTTAAGTACTGTTGCCTACTTCCTCTGTTCCTAATTAGAGGGCGCTTAATTTCCTGTTTTTTTCCAATTTGGAAGGCGCCTTCCCTCCCGCGGCGCTATTTTCCAGTGTATACCTTCTTTGCCAGCACGCAGCAGCGCTTGCGACGCTTGGCCTGCCGGCCGCATTAAATTCCTGCCCACCGCCTCGGTTGATTCAACTTGACAGTGCTGCTGTTGCGGTGCGAATTTGATTAGTACGAAATTGGTCAAATCGGCGTAGCATTTTGACGATTCCGTGACAGGGGAGCTTATGAACCAGCTTCGTTTCCTACGAGAGAGTCTATGGATGGTTGTTGCTAGACTACTCCAGTGTTGGTTGCTGATTAGGCCTCTTTTATTCGTCCCATGTGCTGTTTTTCATGTGTTTTGGTCAAGCGCTTTCCCTGAAGGCCTGAACACCAAGCATTCTGCATTCTTCCCTAGTAGTCCAGCAGAAAAGTCTCGGGTGTACTTTTATTTCCGCCTTTCGTCAAATAATTAGTGTGTTAAATCAATATCTACGCCGTCCTCTGCTTCCATTCCCCTCTTTTGCATTCTTCGTGGCGAATGTTTCTTCCAATTTTTCTACCAATTGCTTAGGTTTTACTATGAGATACAGTCTGCACCTAAACGAGAAAGTTCTAAGTACTGTTGTCTACTCCCTCTGTTCCTAATTAGAGGGCGCTTAATTTTCTGTTTTGTTCCAATTTAGAAGGCGCCTTCCCTCCCGCGGTGCTATTTTCCAGTTTATTTATACCTTGTCTGCCAGCACGCACGCAGCAGCGCTTGCGACGCTTGGCCTGCCGGCCGCATTAATTGTTCAAGCCGTTACATCGAAATCAGTCGGCCAGTAAATAGCCCAACCAGCTGCAACTCAAATGTGAAATCAGCCGGTCAGTATATAGCCCAACCAGCTGCAACTCAAATACGAAATCCACTATATAGCCCAACCAGCTGCAACTCAAATACGAAATCCACTATATAGCCCAACCAGCTGCAACTCAAATGTGAAATCAATCAGCCAGCACGTTGCCCGTCTGCATGTGGAGAGCTCATCACGGCCCGGTTGGCCGTGCTGCTGTATGCACTGGAGCGTGAGCGTTAATTGCTGCAGTGCCTGCGGCTTGACGCGTGTGAGGGGCGAGATGGCCTACCCTAGATTAGTAAGAAAACGACAAGTATACCAAGCCATTCTATTTGGTGCTCAGTAGCTCATATTTGTTTCTTCTGATTTTATTTTTTTGGTCCATAGTTGTCCAGTGTGTATGTGTAGCCCCTAATCTTTGAGTTGTCTTTTCCATGCGAAGCCGGGCTGCTCAAGTGAGTTCACTGGAATTGAATTTGGTGAAGCACAACTTGTCCAAATCAAGGTATGTGTTTATGCTTTTCCTCCTTGCATACTTGGATTTCCAGTATAATAATGTTAACCGTGATTGTTGTTCCTCCTATTTGCAATACATGTTCATGTTTCCTATTGGTATTATTGTATCGTCTGTAAAGTGCTACTCTGCTTTTGAGTTGTAGATAATCAGTGGTGGACTATGGGCCAGCAAAGGTGTGTCTTATATTATGGATCTCCAGAACCTGGGGCGTTCAGCTGAGAAAATTCTAGAGGTTAATGGTGATAAGTTCAATGTTTTGGCATCTAAGTTTTTGTCAACTTGGGTTGGTCCTGGACCTAGAAGGAGTAAGATTATGTTTCGAACTTGGAATGGAGACAAAGAATTTGAACCACAGTCAGAGAATGCAGCTGACGCAATTGTTACTGCAATCATTCCAGGGGTACCGGAATTGAAGACAACCGGAGAGGGTTCTGTACATCATCCTTTATCTGCTAAAGAATCAATTAAAGCAGCGGTTACGTACTTATCCAGAAAGTGGTACTCTCGTGCTGCCTTATTTTGGAGGAACATAAAGCAGGTTTCAGATAATGCCCTCCAACTAATGGTAAGAAGTTTGATCAATGTCATAAACTATTTGCATTTGTAGCTCCTTTCCAAAATTTTCTTGTACAGCTGGTCTTTGAAGGATTATGTTTGCCGGTAACATAACTGTAGTAGGTTCTATTAAAAAAACTGTTAGGTGATTCAGTTTGTTGTATGAGGAGCACATCTGGACATGCAAGCTAGCAATATCATTTGATTAATAAAAGGGATACTTATTAAGATAATTCTCCATGCTGAATCCCATAAAGCAAAATCATGATTTTCTGTTATGGAGTTGCTCTTTCATGACTGGTGCTGTGCGGATATTTGTGTCTCGTTTATTAGTCATGTATATATTCTCACTAGGGGCTGATCTTTTCTTTCCATATATGAATGACAGGTCAGATCAAACTGGGATGACTTTCTCCACCTCATTAAGGATCTTCAATTACCAAGCATGGATCATCTTCTTTCGAACATTGGTAATGTTTTCACTTTGCTGTAAAATGGCCATATTCTCTGGTTCTTCCTCCTACAATGGTGCCTGTAGAAATTTTAATAACTCTCTGCTGGTTGCTAAACTTCGAGTACTTATTTTCTCGGACTTCTCACTAGGTTATGTTGTTTGTTACAGTGAAGTGGTTTGAGAAAAGAAGCAAATCGTTTGAGCCTACCTATTTATATGGTGTGGAGAAGGTAAGGTTCTTGGCTTATTGGTATCATCTAGTCATTTTATCAGTGCACTATGGTGCCTGACGACTTATTGAACTTCCTAGCTGCAACTTTTACTGACAAAGACTGGGTTTGTTGTTCGTTCTTAATAGAGAAAAAAACATCGGATCTCCTTAAAGTTGTGTGGTTTTCCACCTACCTCTCAAAACTTTCCATTGATATTCTGTGCTTCATACATTGCATTTATTCTCATAGGTCCAAAATGTCTCTCCTAAAACTAACTCACACACACAAATATGATTTGCTAACGGTCTATGTGATCTGGGTGCTGGCATGTAACGACAGGAGGGATATTCCTTCTTTCTTGAGACAGGCATCACAGTGGCAAAGATGGTCCTGTTGTGGATAAGACACTACTGTAGTTTAGGAAGAGAAGTAATTGCGTGGAATACATGGGGATAGCAAAAAGAATGCTCACATGTAAACTCCTGGCGGTGATGAGTCGCACTGTCTCCTCCACTTCATTGGGCTAGTTGATCATGGTGCCACACTGACACGGCTCTCCGCGACCTCGCTGTCGAACTCCTGCCCGGTGCTGTTCATCTGCATGTTCATTTCGGCGATGATCTGGTGCATGGTGTTGAGGCCCCCATGCTGTGCGGCGAGGTAGAGTTTCGTGTCGCTGTGCTGACTGGTCGCTTGCTTGACGTACTTATACTTGGGAGTATGGCTCAGCTGTACTCAATTAGAAATCTTAAATCAATACAGTTGTAAATTTCGTGTCATGACTTGTCTGCATAGACCCCTGGCCACATCACACCATGCGATGCCACAAACTAGGCTCATTGGAAGCCATGCCGATGAGATCTGTTAGTTAACTGCAGATGGCAGTTATGGAACAAAACAAAGCAAGCTTAGGTGCGCAGAATGTAAACTAAGTATTCGGGAAGGAAAGTGAGAGGATCACAGCAGTTTAGAGAGCTCCAGTGCAGTTTTCTCTTCTTAGTATAATTCCATGAAGGCATTCATGGGTTGGAGGCCCATTACCATTAACTTCAATGATTGATTGATTGTATTTCAGAAAAAAAATTCAATGATTGTATACATGTGCTGGCTTTGTAGTTTGGCTAGTATTCACTGTAAGAGCTTTCTTATGTCTTACTTTGTTTCCTGCAGGGATATTTCTTGCTTTCTGAAGTAGCCAAAAATACCCATGGTGTCCGAACTATAAACATCACGATTTCTGCTCGAAATCCTTGCTTTGGGAACAGGTAATTATTAAGCACTTTAACACCCCCCCCCCCCGCGCGTATGCAGGGTTAGTATTTTTATGCATAATACACTATTTTTTTGGTACGAGACAAATTTTGGCTAACACATTTATTTAAGATGAAGTGAACTGCAAGCGGATATTTACATCTTCTTTTCCCCTTTTTCTTTTCAGGTGGCAGCAGCTTTTGATAAACAGCATTGTTGGTTATGATACTATACTGACAAACAGCTTGGTGAATTCTCCTGGCCAGGGTACGCTTCTGATATGACTGTGCTTATGCTGGTCTTAAAACTGTCATAGTTCCTCTATGTAATGTTTGCTAACTTAGTCCTTGATAAACGCACAGGACTTGCTTGGAAGCATGTCAAATGTCACATGTTAGGAGTCTATCTTTATTTGTTCTTTAAGACGACCCATTTTGATAGATGGGTTTCCCCCTTGGTATAATATGCAGGTTATCTATACAACTTTCAGACAAAGGAGCTTTATGATCTTAGTTATGGGCATGAACCGCCAACAGGTCCTACAAGATTCGGAGGTCTGTATATTGTTTCCTTAACCTGTTCTCTCAAAATTGACCTGACTACACGTTGTGTCTGTCTTTACGGTGTATTAGTGGCATCAATGTTTTTTTACCTGATGAGATTTGGACTGCTAGTCTTGCAACATAATATGATTAGAAAATGTGGAACCACAATATTTCCAGTTTTTGGAACAGCCTTTTTATTGCTTTACATGTCTCACAAGATTCCTTTCTCATTTATGTCTATTGAGTTCTGATGTCTTGTACATTTGCTGTTTGCAGATTACTTTGTGACGAAATGTGGTGTCCTTCTAATGTCACTCTTTGTATTCTTCACAACCACCATGTCTGTTTCATTTACCCTGAGGGAAACGCAGTCCCGCATGCTTAGGTTCACAGGTTTGTGTTTCTTGCTGTAGGTTGCAGAAACTACTTTCATGAATGGATAATAAATAATGCATGTTTCCCTGAAATTTTCAGTGCAGCTTCAACACCATGCACGCCACCAGCTGCCCACATTTCAACTGATATTTGTGCATGTCATTGAATCACTGGTTTTTGTTCCGGTATGGCAAAACACTTCATCAATGTATTTAACTAACCTAAATTCTTGTTGAAAATGTATAACTGTATACTTAACACAAATTGTTGTACTCTTGTCTCTGTAGATCATGATTGGGATCCTCTTTTTTCTGTTTGAGTTCTACGATGACCAGTTGCTCGCTTTTCTTGTTCTGACTCTTGTGTGGTTATGTGAGCTGTTCACAATGATCAGGTGACCATAGTGCTGGAATGTTTTATGTTTACTTTCGCAAAATTGGGATCTTGCTATAGTATGCACATGTAAAATTGTGCAAGCAATAACTAGGATTGTTCACTGAACCACTGCAAGAGCAGTTAGATTTACTTCGAGCAAGGAGTGTTGGGATTCACTTGCAGGCACTAATGTCATGCATACAAAGTTACTTTAGACTGAACTACTTTAATTCTTCTATTTATTTTTTTGCAGTGTGCGCACATCTATTTCAATGCAGTTCTTTCCGCGCTTCTTCTTGTTGTATTTCCTGGTTTTCCACATCTACTTCTTTTCATACACCTACGGTATGTAGATGGATATGTTTTTCTGGAACATACCATTGATAAACTAATTTACTAGGTGTCCTATAGCTTCATGACATGCATATTTGTGTTTTCTGTATCAGGCTTCTCGTACCTGGCTTTCTCTGCTACGGCAGCATTCATGCAACATCTAATCCTGTACTTTTGGAATCGTTTTGAGGTGAGTTGATCCGACTGTCTCTGTAGCTTTGTACTTTCTTCACTCTTCTTTGTTCAGGGCTTGTTACTGTCTTGTTTTATATTTGAGCATGTATTGCGAGATCTTATGGGTTTCACCTCTAGCCTGCCCCAACTTGTTTGGGACTAAAGGCTTTGTTGTTGTTGTTGTTGTATGTAAATACCAGTTGACACTTTGTTCCCTTCGGCACGATGCACTGTTCCATTTGTAGAGTCTGAAAACTTGTTAAGATGTACTCCCTCCGTTCCAAAATAGATGACTCAACTTTATACTAACTTAATACAAAGTTGACTCATCTATTTTGGAACGGAGGGAGTATGTATCTCTTGTCACACTTGTCAGTCATTAAATCGCAAAGATTGCTTGATCTCAGATAGGGTGCACATAGGATGGTGGGAAGATTGTATGATGGCTAATGGGTTCAAAAGCCCCGACGTCTCCTTGTCACCCATGATACTTACTTGAGATTGGCTTGTTGTGTTTCAGGTGCCAGCCCTCCAGAGATTCATACGGAGCCGAGCTCACATCCACCAACAGACTGGTGTTCAGATCACATCCTCCACCATCTACACTTCAACATTACATATCGCGAGGGTAAACGTGAGGGACCCCGGCACGTTAAACGACGACGCTGGCGCAGCTCATGAAGCAGACCCCCTACTGGCCCAGGCCGAGCCGACGAGGAACCACCAAGAGGGGGCCCAGCAACTCAATGAAAACGCCGATGCAGCAGCCACCAACCCTATCCAGTACGAGGATCAAAATCTCGAGCAAGCCGGCAACGCCCCCGCAGCCTCGGGCTCCCTGAACCCGTTCGGCTCCCTCTTGCTGTGGTTGCTAGGAGGCGGCGCTTCTGACGGCATAGTCTCCTTCTTCTCCATGTTCAGGGACGTCCGCGACCACCACGGCGGCCAGGACTACGCCGAGCCGCCCCAAAACGAGAACGAGCAGGTGACATAGAAAAGAGATGAATTTGGAGGCGGGCCATATAAAAGATGAAATGCCGGGCGCGGCGGGTGAGTGGACAAATGGTCCTGTGTTGTTAAGCTGATGATACTAACCCGCAAGTCCGGCCCCTCTTCATCAAAGGATAATGACGAATATGCATGCATAGCAGCTTGCGGGCCGGTCGTGGGCTGGAAATGCCGCCATGTTGTCTCCCACATATGTCTCTCTCTCTTTCTGGTTGCTGGGTAAGGCTGCACGCCGAATTGTGTCTGGTGGTATGTGTAAATTCCTGGTGACCGTTCGAGCCTTGTACAAAAAACGCTCTTGATAGTGAGTGTTGTGCGATCCTTTTTGTACTCCAGTGTGTGGGTGGGAGGTGTAACATGTAGTAGTAGTAGTGGTCGAATGCTGCAGACGAATGGAATGACTTGTTGCACATGTTGTCCGTCCCTGCACAAGTTTTTTGTTCACCTGGTTTTGTGCCAAGGGAAGGGCACTGAGTACTGACCGACTCCGTGCTATGGTAAGTGGCACGTAACAGGTCAGTCATCAAATAATAGTCTGGTGAAAGAGGCATGCCATTGAGTAGGCCATTTCATTTGGGCATATCTGTGATCAGGCGCATTTCGAAAGTAAATCCTTGCTAAAAATAGATGGAGTAGATGACTCCCCTCCCCTCCCGTGTCGCTCCTGTGGGCTCACTCGTTCTGCCGGTGCTCCCGGTGACCGTGTCCGGAGGATGATGGCGGGGCAGAGATGCCGGGCGGTGCGGCGTGGTGGTACGGACAGCGAGGTGGCGAAGGTGAGCTGCTCTGCTTGGTCTGTGAGGCTTCATGGCGTCCAGATCCGACCTTTCCTGTGGCAGCAGCTGGCTCGGGCGGTG